GCGCTCACTGCTCAGCACGGGCGATGAGAATTCCACACCTGGGGATGCCTTTGGTGAGATGGTGACATCGCCGCTGACACAGCTCACCCTGCAGGCCTCCCCACTGCAGATCGTGAAGGAGGAGGGTGCCCGTGCTGCAGCCTGCTGTCTGAGCCCCGGTGGACGGGCCGAGCTGGAGGGACTGGACAAGGACCAGATGCTGCAGGAGAAGGACAAGCAGATTGAGGAGCTGACGCGAATGCTGCAGCAGAAGCAGCAGCTGGTTGAGCTGCTGCGGCTACAGCTGGAACAGCAGAAGCGGGCCCAGCAGCCAGCCCCAGCCAGCAGCCCTGTGAAGCGGGAAAGCAGCTTCTCCAGTTGCCAGCTGAGCTGCCAGCCCCAGGGCTCCGCCCGTGCCTTCGGCCCTGGCCTGGTGGTTCCCACCACCAATCATGGAGATGCTCAGGCCCCAGCCCCAGGGTCCCCACCTGTGATGGTGAAGCAGGAAGCTGGGCCACCTGAGCCAGATCTGGCCCCTGGCCCCCAGCTGCTCCTGGGCTCACAGGGCACCAGCTTCCTTAAGAGGGTCAGCCCTCCTACCCTGGTCACTGACTCTACAGGGACTCACCTCATCCTCAATGTGACCAATAAGAGCGCAGATGGCCCTGGCCTGCCCACGGGGAGCCCCCAGCAGGTAGCTGACGACAGGGGCAGGCTGGGGTGGCACATGGCTGGGTGGAGAATGGACCCTGTCCTGTGGAGCCTGTGTTGTCAGACTCGGGACCCGGCTCTCTGGAGGAGCCTTGAGACCAGGTGTTCTGTCACCCTCAGGCGGGCTCCGCTCTGTCTCTTCTTCCCTGTTCATGAGAGCTCCCAGACTCTCATTAGCGAGCAGAGCTATCCTTGTGGGCAGTGAGGGAGACCCTTCCTCTCCCTGGCACACTTGGAGCCTCGCCTTGCCCTACCCCACCAACACTGTTTCTCCCATGCAGCCCGTCTCCCAGCCTGGCTCTCCAGCCCCCGGTCCCCCTGTCCAGATGGACCTGGAGCACCCGCCTCAGCCCACGCCTGCAACCCCCACATCTCTGCTGAAGAAGGAGCCTCCTGGGTATGAGGAGAGTGTGACTCAGCAGCCTAAGCAGCAGGTGAGGTGCTGGGAGCTGGAGGGTGCTGGCAAGATGTCTCAGCAGATAAAGGCACTTCCCTCACAAGCAGTCTGAGCCTCGGGACCCACATGGTGGAAGGAGAGAACTGATTCCCGATGCTGTCTTCTGACCTCCACATTATGGCATGCACATACACTCACACATATAGGCCCAGGCCCACGCAGACGGGGCAGGGGCTCAGCCCACATGAGCTGGAGGGGGGGGGCGGTGTCAGAAGCAGGTCCATGATGAGCATGGGGAACATTCGGCACAAGGCAGAAGCACTCGCTCGCTAATCTGGCTAACCTGAGCTTAGATGGTATCTGGGTGCCCATTCTAGACTTTCATGTTCTTTTATGTTTCTGTCCCACAGGAAAATGGCTCTTCTAGTCAGCACATGGATGACCTGTTTGATATTCTTATTCAGAGTGGAGGTAAAGCCCCATGCTCAGATGTCTCCCTTCCTCTAGTTGCAGGCTGGCTAATCATTTCAGAGCAGCAGGCCTGACACCATCTTGAAGGCCTGGGCAGGCAGTCTTTTGACATGTAGTTCTTGGGTACTTGTCCCCACAGGCCACAATTAGGTGAACATGGCCTACATCTATCCTTGTAGAGCCGGTCTACAGAGTGTGGGGAGAGCCGTCCAAGCACCTGAGCAGCAGCCCCCGGGAGGGTAGGAGCTTTGGGGCTGTGGAGTGAGGGAAGAGGGCAGAAGAGCACGAGGTCACAGCCAGATCATAAGGGTGGCTGGCCCCAGGAGGCAGTGTACATAGGCTAGAGCAGCGTGGTCTGACACCGGGTCTTTGCTGCTGTGGTGATTGTGGCTATGCACGAAGATCGGGAAGGTGACCCTGCAGTGACCTGGAGAGGATCAGCCAGGGCAGTAGTGCTTGGTACTCTGCAGCTTTTAGGCCTAAGGGGGAACATCTGGGGCTGGGGCTGCCTTGGAGTCTGAGTGGCCTTTCTGACAGTACAGGGGGCTGCACTAGAGTTTAGGAGAGCCCTGTGCCTGAGCTTCACACTATGTCCAGAACAAACTCCATCAGGGCAAAGTGGGCATTGCTTGAAGGAGTTGTGACCACTGAAATTTAAGGGATGACAGGAAGGACAGCTAGGGGCAGGTGATGGCACCTAGGCAGCAGTAAACAGCTACACGGGGAAGAATAGTTGACCAGGGCCTGGAGAGACCTGGAGGGCGTATATAAAGTTTTATTGTGTCAGATACAAGAAAAGCTGACTATTCACTCAGGTTAAGTATGTTGGTGCTGTGCGGCCATCACTGTGTACCTCTCACATTTTCACCTTGCTAAACTGAAAACTGGACACCTGAGATAAAAACTCCTGCTGCCCCATCCCGTCTGGCTCTGACAGCTCTGAATGTGGAGCCCCAGTTGTGGTCTGCCCGTGAACAGCTTATTTTCCTTAGCACGTCCTCACGGCTCCTCCATTTGTCCATCATTGGACACTTGAACTGTGTGTGAATGCTGCTGCTCTCATAGTCTTTTGGGCACACACCCACAAGAGAGACTGCTGGATGAGACTGTTTTGTTGATGCTGCCCCCAGAGTAGATGGTGAGCTACTTCACCGTCTCTTCCGGTGACCCCACTTCCTCACCAACACTTCTGGGGCTGCAACCTCATGCGTGTTAATCTGTTCTCCAATTCTGACCAACATCTCCACCCCCTGCCCAACCCATATTTTCTGACTTGAATGAAGTAGGATTTTCCCACGGCTTGGCGCTGTTGCATTTCCATGGTGAACAGTGATACTGTGAACTGTTACAGCCATGTGCGGGATCTTTGGAGAAAATACCCGTCCTTTGCCATTTTAAGTATCAACATTTTACAAATTGTTTATAATATTCTGGGTGTGTGAATTCCCTTACCAGACCTCTGACTTGCGAGTACTTCCTCCATTCGGTGACGCATCTCATTGGTTGTATTTTTTGGTGCACGCATGTGTGGTTTAAACCCAGGACCTCGTGTACTAGGCGAGCACTGCACCCTTCATCCTCAGCTCCAGCCAACTGACCAGTTTTATGGTTTTAAGTTTGTATTCAGATTTTTCTCTGGTTTGTGGTGAGGCTTGAAACATCATTTTCTTGTGCATATTCAAACCTGGTTTCTGACCTCATCAACTGTCTCTGTCGGCAGAGATTTCAGCAGATTTCAAGGAGCCACCATCCTTACCGGACAAGAAGTCACCCCCAGCAGCAGCCTGTGGACCCCCACTGACACCACAACCCTCGCCTTCAAGTGAACTCCCCCAGGCTGCTCCTCCACCGGGTTCCCCCACCCTCCCAGGGCGCTTAGAGGACTTCCTGGAAAGCAGCACAGGGCTGCCGCTGCTGACAAGTGGGCATGAGGGGCCAGAATCCCTTTCCCTCATTGATGACCTCCACAGCCAGATGCTGAGCAGCTCTGCCATCCTGGACCACCCCCCATCACCCATGGACACCTCTGAATTGCACTTTGCTCCTGAGCCCAGCAGTGGGCTGGACCTGGCTGTTGGCCACCTGGACAGCATGGACTGGCTGGAGCTGTCATCTGGTGGCCCCGTGCTCAGCCTGGCTCCCCTTAGCACTGCGGCCCCCAGCCTCTTCTCCATGGACTTCCTGGATGGCCATGACTTGCAGCTCCACTGGGACTCCTGCTTGTAGCTCCGACTCCAGACAGGGGCTGGGAAGGGTCTGAAGTTGGGGAGCCACAGAACCATGGCCAGTGTGTGCTCCCCTGACTGTGAGCCTTGACAATCACAGTCCCTGGAGGCTGCATCAGAGACCCTACACTTGGCTCACCCTGGGCAGGGGACATACACTGTCAAGAAACAACTCGGGGCCCATGCTGAGGTTTTGGGAGGCTGGCCAGAGCCAGTTCAATTCGACCTCCTTTTCTGAGGTCAGAGGTGCACATCTGGCTGAAGTTTGGCCCAAGTGGGCCTAGAGCCAATCCGCCTTCCAAGTCTCCCTTCACCGCAAGGAAGAAACTAGTCAGGCCTCTACTTACCCATTCCCTGTTTCAGCCAGTCCCAGGACCCTGTGTCCCAAGAGGTGGCACTCTGCCATTTTAGTCTTGGTATAGCATAACCATTTAGTGGTTTTGGTGGCAAAAATCTGTATAGGTGTATATACCTCTATATTATATATCAACTTACATATATACATATATTTTTAGGGGTGGTGGGAGATGGGTGTGGCTACCTCCACCTGCTTTCACATGTAAAAGGCCTGGAGGGCTTGGGGCTTGATACAGGGTCATTGTGAGGAGTTGTGTGCTATGTGGCCCAGTATTTAACCTGGCATGCAGCTGCCTAGGCCCACCCCACACATGTATGTGACATGTAGACAGACACCTGCCATTGCCTACACACCACCCTGCCCTGCTTCCTGGCTCCTTAGTGCCACAAGGGCAGAGACACTTCCTGGTCCTCCCCCAGGAGCTCTCCACCCACCCACATTCCATCCCATCCCATCCCATCCCATCCATCTCCTCACTGCAGCTGCCCTGGCCTGGGGGTGGGAGTGGGGTGGGTCCCCTGCTGAGGGTATCTCCTGCCCTGATTCAATACAGAGTGGGGATGGTGCCATCGAAACCAGTGCTGGGACAAAGGTGGGAAAGCTGTGTGAACTTTTTAAAATAAAAACAGAAACACTGACTTGCTAGTCTGTCCTATTTGATCCATCAGGGCTGAGATGTGAAAATGGGGTCCTGGGCCTGTTCCATGCCAGCATCTAGAGGCCACATGGTAGCCCTAATTACATAATCAGGTGGACTTGTGACATTCAGCAAGGGCCCAGGAGTCAGACCATTTCAGGTGGGTTCTGGTGGGATAGCCTTTGTAGAACTCGGGGCCTGGCTCAACAAAAGATGGGAGGCTCTCTCACAAAAAGTTTATTTACAATCACAGAGGTTAAGAGGCTTTTATCTGCCATTGGCCTACCCTCTTCCTGAGCTGAGACCAGCACAGAGGTGGCTCCCCACTTCTTCACAAGGGTTTTGGTTAACACACCATATGGCTGGTAGACAGGACTTCCTTAAGGACCCTGGCAGGACAACCCCCAGGACGTTAAGGAGAGAGGCTGAGCTGGCCACCTATATATGCTTTTGCCAACTGTGCAAGCCTGGAGTGGGGAGGCCCGGAAGTCCTGATTATAGGTTCTGGATGTGCTCTGGAGTGTGTCTTCCCTGAACCTCCTAACTAGAGGAGGGAGGCCTGAGGCTGGCCAGGGCTCTGCCCTCTTTCTGTTGAAAGGCGGGGCCTGCCAGGAAGTCTATGACGGTAGGCCTGGGAGCCACACAGCAGCTAGAAGGAGCGTCATCCATCTATGTCCCAGCTGAAAAGGTGGTGCTTCACCAGCATGTCCTGAACACCCTCCTTCAGTGGCTGCTTTTCCTCCTGTGCACAGAACAGCCCCAGTCATGGGCAGGAACCACCCTGGAACTACACAGGTCATTTCTTCAGCCCAGACTGCACCACAGCCCTCCTGGCAAAAGCAATGCCAGGGACCAACCATGCCACATACGCACCTCTCTCTTAGCGGGGAGCTCCCAGTCCTGAGAGAGGCTGAAGGCGAAGCAGCAGAGGACTCTAGGAACCAAAGAACAGTCTCTGTTCATGCTGGGCTAGTGTGCCAACTCACCAGTCACTACCACCAAGTTCCAAGCCTGCAGAACTGCCTACTCACCGGAGCTCACACTTGATCTGGACCCAGCCAGGGCTGCGCAGGAAGGACCAGGGCTGGTACCACTTCTCCACAGTGGGCAGGCTGGAGCAGAGTACCTCCAGCCACAGGTGTAATACCTGTTCACTGAGGATAAGGCAAGAAGGATGGAGCTAGGTCCTGGAGGACCCCAACTTGCAACCCTTTCCCAGGAGCTCCCGAGCATCCTGTACTGAAAGGTCCAGGAGGCCTCCGATGGGTTCAGAATCCCTGAGGACCTCCATTACCACTCTGGCTCTGCCCTGTGGGGCACCCTTTGAAGGCTCCTCCTTCTTTACACTTACTTGAGCCCCACGCAGATAAGTGAGCGGAGCTTGACGTCCATTTGTGCATGTGCTGCATCGTGGGTCACATTCACAGACTGCACAGCCTGAGGAGGGCACTCTGTCACTTAAGTGCCAGTGGCTGGCCAGCGAGATCTCAAGAATGCTGGCAAGTGACTTAACTTACCCTGTACAGTAACTCTTCGGGGGTCAGGACTTTGCCATCTTCATCCAACCTGCAAGAACAAGAGTGCCTTCACTGGCTGCCATGCTGGGCACTGGCAGGTAACACAGACAGTATGTATGTACCTGTATGTCTTACAGAGCACCAGGCGGGAGTACACAGAATCAAAGTCTCTCTCGACCTCCCGGCCCGCTGCCTGTGGTGGACGAGACAGTGAGTATGAGGACAGCGACAAGTGAGTGCGTGCCACTACCCTGCAAGCTCCTTCCTAGCTTCCAGATAGAATATGAAAGCATGTACCAACTGCAGCAGCCCTGGTGCCCTGTGGGAGACACTGCGCTGGTCCACAAACCCAGGAAAGGACTGAGTGCGCACCATGGGCACCTGCAGAGCTGGCACTGAGAAGATGCAGGGGCCAGCAGTGATTACCTCCTCGATGAACAGCCAGGGGTGGCAAGCCCCTCCAAGCAAGGATGGCTTCTTCAGTCCATGTTCAAACAGGGCCTTGAGGGCTGGGCAGAGGGTCCCTCGCACGAGGTCTGTCACTCCCTCTGTCACAGAGTCGTCCCCCGCAATTGAGTACTGATGGATAGAGTGTTTGAGAAGCCGTAGCCAGACGCCTGCAGCCAGCACCCTCATCCTGACAGCTGCTACAAGCCAGGGCTCACTTGGGACATGGACCTGGTAGGATGCTCACACACCAGGGGTTGCAACAAGGAGCAGCTCCACATTCTTACCTCTTTGCTCCGTTCATCCAAGACCTCCACAAACTTGGCTGGAAACCAGCCTGTGGGGGAAGCAGCCATGTGAGGAGGGGCAGTAGCTGTCCCAACCCTTCTTCCCAAGGTCCAAGAGCAAAGGGCTCCCCGAACCACCCAGAACCTTCAAGCAAGCCAGGCATGCCAAGAAGACCAAGAGGAAAGAGAAGCCCAGCTCCCACAGTAGCCAGGGGTCTGTGGCTGTGCAGGCTGTGGAAGCGGAATGGCTGGGTAGAACAAAGGCTCATCTTCTTTGCCAGCCTGCAGCAGACAAAAGCCCTCACCTCTCAGGCCGTTCAGCTCACCCACCCAGCAGTGCTCATCCTTCTGAGAAATGATCTGCAGGAGAGAACAGGACACGGGGCTCAGGGACTGCACAAAGTAGGTGTCCTTAGCACACGCCGGCCTGAGATCAAGCCACGTTCAGCAGCATCAGCTCTCAGCAGGGAAGGTGGGGAGTAGGTAGCAGGAGGCATGCGTGGTAGGCCTCCACGCACCGTGATGATGTCATTTTTGCGGAAGCCTAACTCATCATCATCATGCCGCTCAAAGTCCAACAGGGCCTTGGCCCGGCGCCGGTGGCTCCGTAAGCATGCCACATAGTTCTCATGGTCCCGCTGGTGGCTCTCCATGCTGTAGTCTGGGGTCAGCTCCTGTCAGAAAGGAAAGGCCCGCCGTGGAGGAGGAGCCTCAGTACCAAGACCAGGCTGGGGAAGGGGAGCCCCAAGTTGAGCCTGGGGAGCCTGCCACTCACCACACTACAGTTCTTGGGGTCTGTGCACTGGAAGTGGCGTGCCACACGCAAAATGGCTTCACGAAGGTCGGCTACCAGTTCTGTCTGCTTGATGTTCTTGGCCTTGAGAGCCTCTAGGTCATCCTCTCCTAGGAGGCACACAGGACAGTAAATGGTCCTGCCCAACCTCTAGAAGAGCCAGCACAAACACACACCCTTGCTCACCAAAGAGCAGAGAGGCGATGCCAGACTTCCTCCGCTGGGTCCTGCGGCGCACCACCTGCGGAGAGGAGTGCAGATCAGCAACAGCCACTCAGAAGGGGACATTTCTAATGGCCTGAAGCTGACTCTGAGCTCAAACTGTATCTTCGTCTCAGGCTACGAATGATATCCCACTCTCAAACCATGTTACCAAGGAAGCCTATGTCACCCCCTCGTGGCAGTCTGATGGTATAACTGGGCCAGTGCAGGCAGGTACAGAGCTGAGTGGGATGGAAAGTGAGTGGCTCAGTGGCGAAAGGCCAGTCTGTTCCCAACGCTCCTCACTCTGGGCTTCCTTGAGAACTCCATGATTCAGCCAAAATATGGCCTCCCTACTCCACCCACCTGTGACAGGTTGGTAGTGGCGCTTGTCCCCAGGGTCTGGCCTTGGTCTGCAATGAGGTAAGCCAGATGCTTGCGGCGCTGGGTCTCCACAGCCACATCAGTGAGGGACCCAGCCAGCCTCATGGCCTCCCCCAGCAGCAGCTCCGCGTCCTCCATCTGTGCCGGGATGTCCGACAGCGTGTTGAAGATGGAAGCTGAGTTCTCTGACTGAATCAGCTCTTCCTCCTGGGAGTGGGAGAGTAAGGGCATGGCACTGGCACCCTCCTCATAAACCTGTGCCGTTCAGCAGGCCCAGGGAGATCCCAGCACACCCACACTCGGGACTTCTCTCAGGCAACACAGTGGCGATGCCTGAGCTAGCGCAGTGTCTCCCCCCAGGGCTTCTGTATTTGGTACATGCTTTCCTATTCTGTCTGGAAGCCAGGTGGCCCTGACCAGCGGGTGGGAGATTCTGCAAGCACCTTAAGGCGCAGCATGCCCAGCGTAGTCTGGAACAACACCAGGGAGCCCTCGTAGAAAAACAGGTCCCAGATGCGCAGAAGCAGCCTGATGTGCACCACGCTGGCGAAGGCCGTGAGGAACCAGTGCAGTGTGATCAAAGACAGCTCTGCCAATAGACACCAAAGCCACAGGGGCTGGGACCAGGCTGAACTGGCCAGCCCAAAGAGCAGCGGAGGGGAGGGAAGGAAAAGGGTCAGAATGCAGAAGACAAGCAACGTAAACCACATAAGCCTCTGCTTGCAGCCTGGCCATCAGCCCTCTGCTGCCTCGAAACCTCAGAGCTCAGAATTGGCACTACCATCTTGGGATCCCTGGACCTGGAGGAAGGAGGCAGCCAGGTCTCACCAATGTCATGCTCCTGTAACAACTTGTCTAAACGAGGCAGGTACTGGACGATCAGGTGGCGCAGGACCCGCTGGTCAGTCTGGACACCCAGAAGGGTAGTGCTGAAGTAGGAGGCAGGCAGCAGGTCCTCGATAATGGCACACATCATCCAGAAGGCATCCTCCTCCTCCAGGAATAGCAGGAGGCAGGCAGCCACCTAGCCAGAAATGGGAACATGGGGCTGCTACCCGGGTATTCATGTGAATCAGAAAAGATGCCCCATTCTAGGATGGATATTCAGGAAAGGCTCTTGGGGACACCACCTGAAGGCACACTTCTTCAGGCTGGTTGAGAGGGCCCCTAGGAAAAGAAATAAGTTCCCATGGCCCTCCTTGGGGCCTCTCAGGTTAATCCCTGCCTCCCATCCTTACAGCACCTCAAGGGAGAACATGCCCCACAAGAGGCCTGGAGAAAACCCTGGCATACCAGTTGCCTCCCAGATTGCTCACCATGCCTGTGCCCTGGCAGTAGCCAATCTCTGGGTACAGCCAGGCCAGTGCTCGGAGGACTCTGCGCAGGCGAGGCACCCCAATGCTGTTCACATTGGCAAAGCAGGCGTTGCTGGGCATGGTGCGGAGCAGGTCCTTTTCGATCTGTCAGATCCCCACACCAACCCGAAAGACCTTGTTTGATGCAACTGTAGACTGATACCCTCGCAGTAAGGGAGAGAAGCTATAGGTAGCCTTCTCTCCCAGAAATGGGGAGTCCTTATGGTCCAGGCCAAGGCTAACCCTCCCTTCTCCATGATTCGATCCCACCAAGTATGGAATTGAGTCCATACCAGCCACCTGGGAACCTCCTGCCTGACCCAGCTCTGTATTTAAATTTTCCTGCTCTTCTTAACATGCAGCCATCTCCTCCATGTCCTTCCACACACTGGGACCTTTAGATAACTCTCCCTGCAGCCCTGAAGGACCTGGAAAGGACCAAGTTTACTCTAGGCCACATACATGAGTAAAAGGGCTGCCTACCCTGCCAAGAAGACTAATGAGGGACAGTCCTAGGGGTGACCCCTCCCTTCTGCCACAGCACACAGGCTCTGCCAAGCACCTCCTCCTGACCGGCGGGCTGCCGGTGTTACCTGTTTGGCAGCAATGGTCTCATCATTGGAGCTGTTCTTTACAACATCACGGTAGGACAACTCAGAGTTCCTCTTCTTCTGCAGCGCCCCAGAGAGCCGCATCCACAACTGGAGGGAAAAGCCACAAAGCAGTTTCTCTTGGGACATGACAGGAAATCTCAGCCCTCAATGAGATCCTTGTCTTTGTGACCATCTTACCTGTGGCCTCATGCCATGTGGGATGCCAGCCAGCACTAGGGAACGGAGTTTCTCGGAGCGAGGGAGAGACACTGCAATCTTGTCCCAGGTGAGATCCCCCACATCATGGTTGTGGGTAAACTCCAGGTGGGCCTGCCAGCGCAGCCTCTGTGTGGGGTCCTCCGCCAGGGGTGCACCTGCCATCTGGCTACATCCAGGCTCAGAACCTTCCGCGGAGAGAACAGAGGGAGGAAAACGTGTCCCTCACTCCACAGCAGCCCCGCCTGTCCTGATGGGCTCAGAGCTGTCTCCAGGCCAGGTGGCTCCCCTCACACAGACTACTACCCACAGCCTCCTGGGAGCCCTAGCCAGTCTTCTTAGTGGCAAGGGACGCCCAAGCAGACTCTTCTTAGAGCAGGCCCAGGCCCAAAAGCCAGGTCTCCATCTTCCAAAGACTCAGGAGGCTCCTTGTACCCTAAGCACCAAATTCAATCCATTGCAAATGGGGTTCCTAGACATTTTTAAAAATTACATTAATCTGTGTGTATAGAACATGTCACCTCATGTCACTGTCAGAAATGTCTAATGGCCCCCATCTCAAGCTCAAAACCAAAGGCTTTCCGGGCTCCATCATCTGGTCCTCTGTGTTCACCTCACCCCTTCCTTTTTCCTCCCTCTACTCCATTCTTCTCCACCAAAGCCCTTCACCCATCACTGCTCTTCCCCAGTTATACCACCTCGTCTCCACCGAGTCTCTACTCAGTCTTCCCTGCTGAAGAGCCTCACATAACCGCTTGATGTTTAGATAGTTCACCTCTCTTCTTTGCTATCCATGGAATGATCTTCATAGGTCTCGCCCCCAGAATTCTGCTTGTTTACACCAGAATAGAAACTCAGTGTGGTCAAGATCATCTTTGGGGACATAAATGGGAAGAAAGCACACGGCACCCTAGCTTCACGAACCCCTTGAATAAGAGGACAAAGTCTGTGGCCAGCAAACAATCTGTGTGGTGAGTCCTGCCTTCAGAGCCTCCTTGGCACTTAACCTAAGCCAAGCTCGTACCCTAGTTAGCCTTAAAACAATTGATCTTGGCTACATTACACAAAGAAAATGCCCAGGTCTAAAGTGTTCATCTGCAAATGTCAAAACACTGTTCTGCACATGGTTGTGAACACTCTGAACTCTAAATCCGGTGACCTATCAAGTCACAGATTGATTTCCATCATTCTAGAAAGTTCTCTGTGTCCCTCTCAACCTCAGCTCTTTAACTTCTATCTTCTCACAAATTAGAAGACCGAGGAAAACTAATGCCTGAGTTAGAAATATGAGTAATATGAAGTTGAGTGCCTGAGCTCTTCCTGGTGCCTGCTCTTCCTGGTGACAGGCCATCACAGTTCTGACAAATGGTCTTCCCAACAAGCTGAGATATCTAGCCAGATGCTCTCTCATAGAAAAAATGGTAGCTGGCTGTAGTGGTATACACCTTTAATCCCAGAGGCTGAGGCAGTCAGATCTCTGTGAGTTCAAGGCCAGCCTGGTCTGCACAGTGAGTTCCAAGACAGCCAGGACTTTGTAGAGAGAGCCTGTCTTGAAAAATAAATAGAAGGGGGCCGGAGAGATGGCTCAGTGGTTGAGAATATTGTCTGCTCTTCCAAAGGACCTAGGTTCAATTCCCAGCACCCACATGGAAGCTCACAATTGTCTCTAACACCAGTTCCAGGGGATCTGACACCTTAACACCAATACACACAAAATAAAATTAAATAAATTATTAGAAAAAGAGAGCGAACTAGGCAGTAATTGCACACATCTTTATCCCAGCGCCTGGGAGGCAGAGACAGGCAGATCTCTGTAAATTCAGAGGCCAGGATAGCCAAGGCTACACAGAGAAACTGTCTAAAAAAGAAAAAAAAAAAAAAGAAAAGAAAAAAGGCTACAAGAATATCACAATGAATCTGTTGTAATATGATATCACACAACCATTAAAAATGTGTTTTTAAAGCATCTTAAGTAACAAAGGAAATGCTCCTGGTGTAACATGATATTTCAGCGTCAGGAAAAGAGCATCTTACACAGCATCAACTTCCTCAAATTGTGGGACTATGGGTTCTTTTTAAAAAAAATCCCCCACACCCAAGACAGGGTTTCTGTGTGATCCTGGCTGCCCTGAAACTCACTTAGTAGCCCAGGTTGGCCTTGAACTCACAGAGACCTGCCTGCCTCTGCCCCCTGAGTGCCGGGATCAAAGGTGTGTGCCATCATGTCTGGCTTCACTTTGTTTTAAACTTCCTCCCTTTCTGCACTGTTTAACTTTTCTACAATATATATATAACTGCTTATTATGTAAAGATAATAAATTTTATCTTAAAAAAATCAGAATTAAAAAAAAAAGGTGGGGCTGGAGAGGTGGCTCAGTGGTTAAGAGCACTTGGCTGCTCTTCCAGAGGACTTGAATTCAATTCCTAGCACCCATATGCTAGCTCACAACTGTAACTCTAGTTCCAGGGGATCTGGCACCCTCACACAGACATATATGCAGGCAAAAACATCAGTGCACATAAAATAAATAAATAACTTTAAAAAAAGCAAAGCGTGATGGCACATATCTTTAATGCTAACACTTGGGAGGCAGAGGCAGGTCTGCTTGTGAATTGAAGGCCAGCCTGGTCTACAAAGGGAGTTCCAGGACAGCCAGGGCTTATTATACAAAGAAACCCTGTCTCAAAAACAAACAAAACAAAACAAAAATTAGCAGTACCTATAAAGTTACATCACTCTCAGATATATTCTGTCCTTAACTCCTTAAATGACACCCCCCGACCTCAGAGGTCACATGCAGTGGAATACAAGACATGGGTCCAGAATCCTCCCAAACATACCAACAAGCTCACACACAAGCGGCTCCATCTTACCTTCCTTGTCCACACGGAAACCAAACTCATCATAGCAGAACTCTGGGTGCTCTGCAGACTCTTCCTTCTAGAACCAGGATTAGGAAGAAGGCTGTCTGTCCTCTACTGTGAAACAGTTCCCAAAGACACTACTCACATGCTGACTCCTAAAGCCCACCCTGATAAAGGCATGCCTTCTCTGGCCATCATTCAACTACAAGGGATCACTGCCATCACCGAATTCTCCTGTGTCTGCAGGCAGGCTTCCTCCTAGCTAATGACTGATTCCCACAGGCCCAAGGAGCTAAACTGTCCTCTGTGACCCTGTGTGAAGACGCAGTGGGTCATCGTTCCCAGAATACTTGCAAAGGTAAGTCTCTTCATGAAAAGTACAGGAGCATGGCAGGCTGGTGCCTGGCAATACTAATTGCTATACCTGTGTGCATTTTGCTAGGATCTCCTGGGGCCATATGCTTGGAGTCAGGGCAGAGAAAGGGCCACTGGCAGAGGGCATGTGGTTTCCTACAGAGATCAGAGAGAAGAACAATCAAGAAAAGCAGAAACACTAGGCCTGGTGGCAACTCACACCTTTAATCCCAGCAGAGGCCAGCCTGGTCTACATAGTGAGCTCTCATTCCAGGCCAGCCATAGTAAGATCATGTCATGAAGGTGGGAATGAAGGAGGGGGGAGGGATGAAGGGAGGGAGGAAGGAAGGAAATTAAGGAAGGAAGGAAGGAAGGAAGGAAGGATGAATGTGGAGGAGAGATACCTTCCTTCTCCAAGAGAATCACTATTAAAAAAGATGGGCTGTACAGGGCGGGCCGAGAGGGCTAGTGCAGAACCCTAAAAATGAACACTGTGGGAGAGCAACAGTGCACATCATACAAACTTGGATTCTTTGCCTCCTTTCCCACCAGAGTGGGCAGATTCACAGGCCAGAGGAGCAGGGAGCCAGAGACTCCCTGAACCAGAACACAGAGGATAGCATCAGTCATTGACCTGAGATCCCAAAGCCTTTTTGTTCCCTTTTCCCTTTTGTTTTCAGTTGTGTGGGTTAAATTTCGGAGAAAAGGTCTCATAGCCCAGGCTGCTCTATGCCCTGGTATATGCCGAGGATCTGCCTCAGCAGAAGGCCGACTACAAAATCAGCAGTCAGCTCTACCACGGCTCCTGGAGAGTGTGCAGGTCTTGTTCCCACCTGACATCATGTGTAGTAGATGGTGGCAGGTCTTCACAGAGGTAGGCTTAGATGGTCATTGTTGGCATCTCTGCCTGTCATGAGGCTCCTCAGGCTTCACTTGCCCTGTCAGGAGAGCCCAAAGGAGAGGTCATTTCATACCATTCTTCTCCTGGAAGTTTTTGGTTTTTTTGATGAGAGAAAACACACACACACACACAAAAACCAAAAACAAACAAAACAAGCCCTATAGCTGGTTTCCTAGAGCCACGATATTTAGTGGGTTTTTGTTTTTGTTTGTTTAGTTTTTTGGAGGGGGCGTTGTGGTGCTGGATGTTTAACAGCCTTTTGCATGCCATATTCCCATATTCCCATTCTACAAACTAAGGCAAATTTCTCTCATCATTTTTAAAGTCTGCCCTGCCTTTTCTGTCCTCTTTTTTATGTTTGTTTGCTTGTTTGTTTTTTAAAGACTCAACAGTAAAGACACAAAAGCCCAATTTAAAAATACATAAGAGGGCCTAGAGAGATGGCTTAGGGCTTAAGAGCACTGGCTGCTTTTCAAAAGGACCTGGGTTTGGTTGCCGGCACCAACACAGCAGCTTACAACAGGCTACTTCTAACTCTAGTTTTGTGGATCTAATGCCCTCTTCTGGCCTCTGCGGGCATTGCACATATGTGATGCAGAGATGCATGCAAGCAAAATACATAAAAAAATAATTTTTTAAAAAAGATATTGGTATATACATTTCTCCAAATAAGAGAGAAATGGCCTATACCATTTTGGTCCCCAGTTGGTGGTGCTGTTTGAGGGAGTTCAGGAGGAGTTCAGCAAGAAGACCTTGCTGGAAGAGGTTATCAGTGGGAACAGTATAGAGCTTCACCCTAGTCACAAAACTCCACTTCATGCTGCGGTAAAGTGGTGGTCTATCAGCCTCCTGCCACCATGCCACCTGTTGTCATGCTTCCCTGCCACGACAGACTCTTATCCCTGTGGAACCATAAGCTCAAATAAACTCTCATATAAATTACCTTGATGGTGTTTCATCACAGCAACAGAAAAGTAACTAATACAGTTATTATGTGAGTCCACTGAAACGAAACACTAGAAAAGGAAAATCCATATAGACAGAAAGTAGATTAGTGGTTGCCAAGGGTTTATGGGGTGGTGTGGACAGTGATGGGCAGCAAGCATGTTTCCATCTGGAGTGATGGATATACAGTTACAGCAATTCTTGCATGAACTGTATACTTCAGAGCTTGTCATCTATACCACAATTAAAAGAGACACTATCTTTCGGTGAGGTAGCACATGTCTTTTATCTCAGCACTCCGGAACAGAGGCAGGAAGATCTCTACAAGCTGAAGATCAACTTGGTCTCTGGATTGTGCTCCAGCCGAACAAGGCTACCTAATGAGACTGTCGGGTTGGGAGTGTCTTCTGGGGATCTGGATTCTGGCATCAGCTCTGCTAATCCCCACTTGTTCGGAACCTGGACAAGTATATTTCACTCTTTGAATCTGTTTTCTTATCCATAAAGTGAACAGCACTACCTCTGCCTTACAAAGATCAGGAAGATTAAGTAACCAAATAAGGCCCTCAATCACACTGACTTATCATCAAGAAACCGGGGATACTAGTAATTTCTAGAAAATGACTGTTGGGAAAAACAAAACAAAACAAAAAAACGCTGTTGGTATCTGGGCCGTGTGCCCAGACTGTAGTACACTAAAAACTATTATATTAAACCCTATGAAATTGCTGGTATTTGTGTATGATAGCCTATATAACCAACAATGCCACACAACATGTGTCCAGATGAGATCCTAAGCCTCTGTACATAACACAAAGGAGGTGGTTTGACTGTTCCTTAAAGAAGAGCAGAGCATCTGGACGTGGTGACTTTCTTTAATCCTTGCATTCAAGAGGCAGAGTCAGGGAGACCTCTGTGAGTTTGAAGGCAGCCTGGTCTATATAGTAAGTTCTAGGCCAGCCATGGCTACATAGTAAGGCCATGTCAGTGGAAAAAAAAAAAAGAAGAAGAAGAAAAGAGGAGGAGGAGAAGGAAGAAGAAAAGAAAATACGGCAGAGGAAAGCCATGGAAGAAAAGAGGTTGTTTAAATGGAGGAAATGACACCTGCCGTGGTGGGCAGAGGGCTGGAAGACAATTGTTAACCAGCAGTTCTTTCCTTCTCAGCAGCTTCCTACTCACTTGTCACTCAGCAAACAATGACTGAGCACTGAGCTAGGCAACCCAACAGTGAGTAAGTCAGGCTGTTGTAGTGTACGAGATGGAACTGTATCAGAAGAGAGGGCGTTCTGTATCATATCAGAAAGAGCCTTTGAGAGCTGAGGTCTGAGCAAGGGTCAAAAGGAAGCAAGGGATCAAGGCCTTGACTTCACTGAGAGAGGGAATCAGGAGCAGGGAACAGCCAGTGAGCTGAGAGCCTGGGGTACATGGAGGGGAACAGACTGGGAGGAAGCAACAGCAGGAGCCAAGGGTACCTCACCCTGAGGACAGGCCCTTGACCTTTAGTCTCAAAGAATGGAGAAATCAGGAAATTCTGAACATCCATGAAGCAAAATCTGTTGGAATTGGACAAGCTCTCCAGGTGCTCAAGAGTCTTTGGAGACTGCAGGGCCTAGCAGATGACTCAGAGTATGAGATGATGTGGGCTTTGCCTGGGTGAAAGCACGGAGAATCGGTCAGATTGTGGACACATTTTTAGAGGCTGCGAGCTTCGTTTGCTATTTCCTTCATGTGGCATTCGTGGACACGTATACTTCAGACTGTCCTTAAGCCTCCCAGATGTGATACTGCTAAGCTGGGCAGGCAGGTTTTTCAGCTTCTGGTTGCTATAGAAAATTTCCTGAAAGCACTCATCTGCGAATTGACAGAAGTAGCCCAAGAAGTTAGTCATGTCTTGGTTACCTGGTCTGTGGCTGCCCTCTTGTCTTTTTGTTTACTTTTGGGTTTTCAAGACAGGTTTTCTCTGTGTAGCCCTGGCTATCCTGGCCTCATTTTGTATAGCAGGCTGGCCTCAAGCTCACAGAGATCTGCCTGCCTCTGCCTCCCAGAATGCTGGGATTATAGCTGTGTGCCACTGTGTCTGGCTCCTCCTGCTGTCTTTTAAGAAACAGAGACTCTGGAAAACCATAATTGATGCAGCCACTTCTGAGGTGCTCTGAAGAAACTGTAACAATTATATGCACAAGCCTAAAGGACCCAGTTCTGATGCTATGTGTCCCTCCCTAGTTTCCCAACCCCACAATTTCCTCTTAGGCTAATGTTGCCCACTGTATGCAGGCACAGAGGTACTGTTCACTTCCTGTGGGTCTCCTGATATGGGCTATAGGGACCTACACACCCGACAGGGCAGCAGTGCTGCTGCCACACAGGTGACTTTCTGTAGACATCTTCCAGGAAACACAAAGGCTGACCCAACACAAGGCTGTTTTGGTGGCACCTAAGACCTAACATCTTCCTCTGACCTTGGGCACCAGGTATACATACATGGATACGAAAACACTCATACACATAAAATAATCTAAAAAATTTTTAAATAAAAATAAATTTTAAAAGCTTTTATAAAATAAAATAAAAGTTCATTATTGCCACTATGACAGTATAAAGGGTTTAACCTTTCAGAGATGACTGGTTGTGTCCACGCCTTTAACTCCAGTATTTGAGAGGCAGAGGCTGTTAGTTTGAGGCCAGCCTGGTCTACAGAGTGAGTTCCAGGACCTCCAAGGCCACACACAGAAACCCTGTCTTAAAAGAGAGAGAGCAAGAAGGAGGGAGGTTGGTTTAGGTCAGGCATAGCTCCCACACTTAAAATACCAGCATTCAGGGAGAAGCAGGAGGACTATAAATTTATGGTCCTTGGTCAAAACAAACAAAAGGTGAAGGTCATTAGCGAGTAGGAATGTGGAGTCATTGGTCTTGGTTGTTCTTGTTGTATGTTTTATAATCTGGCCTATGTTACCCAGGCTGGTCTTGAACTTCTGGGTTCAAGTGATCCTTTTCTCTCAGCTTCAAATGCTGAGACTGTAAACACATGCTGCTGTGCTCAGCTTGGTCTTGATGATTTTATGTTACTTTCTTTGGGAGTATTTGGGACTACAACTCCTTGACGTTTCATACTTTTTCAGAATTTGGAAAATCTAAGTAATATTCCTAATTGAAAAATCTGAAACTTTACTTATTTGCATACTCACTCACTTACTTGAGGTAGGGTCTCTCTACACAGCCTTTGATGTCCTGGAACTTGCTATATAGACAAGGCTGGCCTTGTCCTCACAGATTTGCCTGTCTCTATCTATACTGAGATTAAAAGCATGTGCCACCATGTCTGGCTTGAAACTTTTTAAGCATCACTCAAAACTCTTAAGAGCTCTTGCTGCCCTTACAGAGAATTTAGGTTCAATTCCAGTATTAACATGGTGGCTCACAACTGTCTTTAACTACAGTTCCAGAAATCCAATGCCCTTTTCTGGCCTCTGAGGGTACTTCATGTATACAGTGCACAGAAATATATTTAGAAAAACACCGATACACATAAAACGATAAGATAAAATGTAAAATATTTTAAAGATATTTTTATGTGCATGGGTGTTTGCCTGAATGTATGTACGTGCACCATATGTGTCTCTGGTGCCCAAGGAGATCAGAAAGGGTAAGATTCTCTGGTAATAAAGTCTCAAATAGTTGTGAGCCATCATAGAGGGTGCTGGGAGTTGAATCTGGGTCCTCTACAAGACCAAGTACTCTTAACCACTGAGGTATCTATGCAGCCAAAAAGAATAATTAAAATTTAACGATCAGTGTGGTGATACACACCTTTAATCCCAACACTCATGAGGCAGAAGAAGGTAGAGCTCTACAAGTTTGAAGCCAGCCTGGTCTACAAAGTGAATTCCAGGCCAGCCAGGACTACATAGGAAGACCCTATTTCCAAGCTAATTAATTAAATAATTTGGATGTTATAATATATGTATTATAATTGGAAATAATCACAACTCACTAATTGCACTGATATAAGAGAGGTGCCAGTCTCTATGCCTTCCTTCCTCTGGTGACAAGGCTACTACTTGCTACCTCAAATTTCCTTCTTTGGGGATTTAA